TCGCAAAACTGGTATTTTTTCAGTTTCAGATAGTATAACTCGGCGAGATGTGAGCGCACGAAGCTGAAACTTTTGGTATCGATGGGTGACAAAGCTACGAGCTAAATAAAAAAAAATTTTGAAAATCTAATCAGCCGAAGCAGAGTTATTAGGAACCTAAATGAAAAAGATAATTGTACAAAAAAGTTACGATTCGCTCATATATATACGACTGTCGGCTGGTTTTCAACTATTTTTCTTTGTACTATCTAGCCTTATCTTTCTTTTACGCTTGCCTTAGAATAAATCAATAGGCTTTTTTCAAAACTTTCAAAATAGTAAACTCTCTAAACTATTACAAGGACGTAAAAAGTAACCTTTTTTTAAAGTAGGGTTATCTGTAACGTATAGTCATAAAAGTAATAACTTCGGTACTGCAAGATTTCAATCTGAGTTTAACACTAGAGCACTAAAGATGGGCATACACTTCAATGAATATGCTCGACATATGCTCGACAAGTTCTTCTTCGAAAATCCTATCTAGAAAATAAGTAGTCCGAGACATGGAAGGATTTGAGAGAGTGTGCTGCGGAACACGTCCAAAGCAAGATTAAGTAAGCGAGAAAATCTGGCTGCAAAAAATGCAAAGCCGACTTACACCTAGATTAAAAGGTACATTTATCTAACTGCATGCTGATTGAAATTGTGTACTCGCTGAAACAGCCGCTGTATTAGCCAATTAATTGAGCAATGAATTACTCATTAGAACTTTTAAATTCTTTTCAGATTAATTCATTCTGATCCAAAAAAAGATGATAAATTACTTCACACGAATTTGAAAGGCTATAGTAATTTAAATTCGTTTATAGTAAATCAGTTTACATCAATTATTCTTCCGTTTTCAGAAGTTTTCTACGTAGTGTAGTTCTTTAGATCACGAGGAGCACATTTTGCCTAAAAAATGTACGAAGGAAGAAAAGAAAGAAGAAAATATACTAGAGAGCAATTGCACTGCGCACAAGTTACGATGTTGACAGACTCTGTCTCTGACGCAACTTACCGCTCCAAGCAGATTTTAGGCTGTAAGCACTGCATTTTTGCTTTGATTTACTCAATATATACATATATATTTATATATATTGACTAAATCAAATCAATACAGAGATATTTATTTGACATTTCGTCTCAAGAACGAATGGCGCCGGACAATCAACTCTTATAAATACACGAAAAGTTTCTAAGTCAAAAAACATTTTACTTCTTCTTGTATAGCTTAGTACGCCGAATCTAGATTTATGTTTAAAAAAACAATTGCTCTCTAGTTTATTTTCTTCTTTCTTTCGTCGTCATTGATTAATCTCCAATGTCGAGAAATTATCCTCCCGTTTTCAGAAGTTTTCTACGTAGCATAGTTGTCTAGATCACGAGGTGCACATTTTGCATAAAAAAACGGACGAAAGAAAGAAGGAAATAAACTAGAGAACAATTGTGTTCCGCACAAGTTGCGATGTCGACAGACCCTGGTCATGTTAACAGAGACAAAAAGATCACTAAAAGACTGAAGTTAAAAATCTGTGTACTCAGCATTTAAATGTCTTACTGTTTTATTTATAAAGAACAAAGAATGTTTAAACTGAATGTTGAAAATCAAATCTGGATGAATTTATTGAAGATGAAATAGCCTCACGGTCAGAAGAATATCAGAAAACGAAGCGCTCTGTACAGATAAGGAGAAGAAAAGCCAATAAATGCGCCAAAAAGATGACAATTTATGATAGATGAAGCAAGAAACACTTGCAGATAACAAATGAAAAAGAACCTTTATCCGATCCTTTTTACCTGAACAAGAACTCACTAAAAAACGAGTGTTTCTTCTTTGCGTCCAGACATTTTTGAGATAACTTTAGGTATATCGTCTTCTTCCAAAGATCAGCAAACACAGATCGACGCATACGAAATTTCATACAAATCGCTTCTAAACATACGAATATAAAGATTCAGTTAAAAATGTGGTAGTGGCAAAAGTAGAGAGAAAACAATTTACTTTTCATTAAATTGACTCTTTCCACATCCAACTGCTGTTCTTTTAATTGTTCATCTGTTAATTTTTTCAGTTTTTTATTACCGGGTAATTTCTTAGTTTTTCTTTCTTCGAATGTAAAAATTTCGTCAAATATATTTCTAGCAAATTCCATGTAAGTAACACCTGGAATGTCAAATAAATTTCTCCATTACACCACTAATATACTTTTATTAACGAGATTTTTTGTGAAGTATCAACTCACTAGCTCTTCTACTTCAACGTTTATATCTTGTTTTGTCGTTTCTGTTTGAATCTGAAAAACAAAAGAAAGTTGCAGGAGATTACAGTACGTGTAGTAGAGTGGTACACTTACCAATACATTAACACTTTTTCGAAGAGTTTTCAATTGATAACTAATAGATTTCAAAAATTTATTGTCCTTTGTACTTTTTTGTTCTCTATTTTCATTTCGCTTTGGTGGTGCATGTACACGATGTTGTTGAGGATTATAAAATAGTAGACATTGCGATTGATGTCGTTCGCCATCGTTCAACACCGAATCTGATGAGCTACCAGATTCATCACTTTCGCCAGGCGAATAATGTTGATTTTGAGATTGATGTTGAGTGGATCTCGTAGTTGTTATGGGTGACAAAGTTCCTGGTGTGACGAGCAGCGGTTGAGATGACTGAACATCTGTACCACTTGCTACTATTGCTTCTACATCTGCATCCTTTTCTTGTTGTTGAAAATTATAGACTTCATTTGAATTACACTCTTCATTTTCATACACATCTTGTATTTGTTCATCTGAGATGGTTAAATGTGATGGATCAAGATTAACTGATTCAGGGTTTAATAAATGATTTGTCAGTTCCATCAAATGCTGACGTTTTTCTGTTATTTGTTCAATTCGATCGGGTGAGTCTGAACGTTCTACAATTAACACCAAAAGAATGAACCACTTGAAACTTGAAAATAATAAAACTTTAAATCGAATTGTTATTGTTTGCTGAATTTAATAGTGAACACAAATTGCAGAGAAAAGATAGGTGTACCTTCCCGAACGAGTATCTTAAACCAGTTTCCTATATCTGATATGTCTATTATTCTGACAGCAGAGATTTGAGGTATTCCATTGATACTTATGCTACATAGCTCAGGGGTGAGATTTCACCTGAAAAACCTGAAATACCTGAAATGTTTGGAAAAACCTGAAAACCACCTTACTTCTGGGCAAAAAACCTGAAATACCTGAAATTTCCAAAAAGTTTTATACTAGAGACGATTTTCTTCTATTTCTACACAAATTATGTAAAAAGAATTTTATTATAAA